GAAGACGCAAACTCTCATCCGCTGAGCGCCTTCCTTCTTGGTGTGTAGGGGGATGGAGCCCCACTGGCTCAACACTCTCTCTGGAGGAGCTGCAAGCAAAATGTCGCTTTATCTGGATATATTCAGTATGAGATTAGCTACCAGTTACACCAAGGAGACATATCTCCACATCACAGGCCACCAGGTGACCTTTGACCCCATCCAGCCACTGAACATACGCTGAGAACAGATCAATGTGTGGATGTGCTAAAACTTTCTGAACATAAACTGAAATTTTGACAGAGAGCTATATACCTAGAATTATAGATCTAGTGTTGGCACAGCTTCAGTTCTTCCAGCTGTAAACCAAAGATCAGTTTGCCAACAGTTGCCCCATTCAGCCAAAACCAGCAACTTTCTTGATATATTGAGCAACATTTCAGACAAAAAACTGCTTTCGGACAAAATCAGAATCTGTAAGCTAGGTTTTTTTCAAAGACCGGTAGTCAATCAGTGCAGCTCTAATTCACGGCGCCGGAAACACAAAGTTTATTCTTCAAGAATATTCTCATCTGAAATAGCTTTCTGCAGGAAAAAACATATCTAATCACATGATCGGCAACAAGTTTCATTTATCAATCAATCAAATTTTATTTGTATGGCTCATTTCAGCAGCAAGGCATTTCAAAGTGCTTTACATCATAAACACAAAATCATGCATCATAGAATAAACAATACATTGTTCCATCATTAAATTTATAATTGATTACATTTCAAATAAAACTCTATAATCAACTGGCTTTTAGTTGAGATTTAAAGGAAGTCAGGGTTTCTGCTGTTTTACAGTTTTCTGGAAGTTTGTTCCAGATGTTTGGTGCATAGATGCTGAAAGCTGCTTCTCCTCTCTTGGTTCTGGTTCTGGGGATGCAGAGCAGAACCAGAACCAGAACCTGAGAGTCTGGAAGGTTGATACAACAGCAGATCTGTGATGTATTGTGGTGCTAAACCATTCAGTGATTTATAAACTAACAACAGTATTTTAAAGTCTATTCTTTGAGCTACAGGGAGCCAGTGGAGGGACTTTAAAACTGCTGTTATGTCTCTATCTTCCTGGTTTTAGTGAGAACAGGAGCAGCAGCTTCTGGATCAGCTGCAGCTGGAGGATTGATTTGTTGGACAGGCCTGTGAAGACGCTGTTACAATAATCAATGTGACTAAAGATAAACGCATGGATGAGTTTCTCTAGATCTGGCTGAGACATTAGTCCTCTAATTTACTCGTGGCCTTGTGGAACAAAAAGTGGAGAAAATAAAAACATTTCCAATCAAACTGCCATTTTTCTAAAATAACTGAAATTTATCGAAACTGTTACAGTGATAATTTTTCACAATACAGTAAATCCCCAACTCTGTTCCATCTCATTTTCTGTTCATGTTGTCATCATTTAAGGCTTTTTGGTGATTGAACATAAAACATGAATTAAATGCTACAAAAATAAAAACATTCCTCACGAGTCACAATTTAAGAGAGAAAGAAAATATGGTGGAAAACTTTCAGAATATTTAATTTTAAGTCAATCCTAATTAATTTTCTATAAGTTTTAAATCTTTCTTACCTGAAAAGTTTATTTTGATCTCCCCGTGAGATTTCTACGAAGCCAAAAGAAAAACAGGTTTAGATGAAGAACAAAGCAAACATGGAAAATATTTGCTGGATTTTTACCAGAAACTTCTTGTTGCGGGGGAAGCCCCAGTCGCTGTCCGAGTCTGAATCTGACATTTTGCTCAAGTCTGTGCAAACAAAGTTTACAGCATTACAGGTTTTACCTTCTATTCTAAATAAATGTTATTTTGCAATAATATACAAATTTCTTTGACAGTATCTTGACATATTCTAGTTTCAGACTTTCATTTAACATTAAACCTTGGCAGGAAAATTTAAAGTCATGAAGAAAACAAATAAATAGAAAGCATCATTCAGGGGAAAAATAACAGCAAATCCACAGTATTATTTAATTTTTCCAATCATTACATTGAAACTAATATGCTGCATAATGGGGCGTAAACATTTCTGAACATATTTTTCTTTTATTTTTTAAATAGAAGCTGGCATTTGATGGTGGTGCAGACTTCCTAACATTCTCTGCATTTATGTGAACTGGACGTTTTCCTGTCGTGTGGTGGCGGAACGGCCAGGTTGGCATGAAGATAAAACAGAAAATGACAGACAGATGCGCACACCAACATTAGGTAAAACATTTAATGAAACAGAAACTGGAAGTGGAGTCGGCCTGAAATAAGACCAGGAAAAAATGTAAATAAATCTTCTGGTAAAAGTAAAAACACTCTGCAGGGCTCTGCCGCTCAAACGTCTCGTTTTATAACACTGGAGGTTTTACATTGAAATCTTACTTTAAAATGTCAGAATGTCTTAGTTCCAACAAAAACACTACGTCATTAATCATGGAATATTGTTGTTTTATCCAGTTTTATAAATTTATGATTGAACATTAGGAAAGCACCAACGTGAATATTTGGGCCCATGTTGATAGTCGATATAAATATTGCCCATATTAAAGAAAAGCGATATTTATCAGAATCAAACATCAGGACTGCAACAAATGATTGTATTAGTCATCAATTATTCTAATCAATCGAATAAAAGAGGCCACTGTGCCAATGAAAAATTTCATCGGCACAATTCAATTCTTATAGAATATTAAATAAAAATTTAATACAATATAAAAAATCCAACAAGATGCCAGTAATTTATTTCAATTTTCAAACATTGTATTGCCTACAATGGAACAAAACTCGATCATCTATGGCTGAAAAATATGTACATTTCTAACATCTACATGAGGAAAGCGCAGACCTTTCTGCTGATTTTCATTATTATTACTTTGATTTATGCCAGGGATTTTTGACTGTGCAGCTGAAATCTTGACCATCAACGGTTTTCCCCCCCGGTACCGACAAGGAAAGCCTGTCGATATTTATCATTTATTCCCATCGTGTTGCCCTTTATCGACGTCTCTGCGGTCATTTCTCCACTGTATTATGAAGGTAAGATGATATGGGCCACATTAGGACAAAAGCATATTATTAATAGAGGATATTTGCAAATGTTCAGATTGGAGAATCTCTCAGAGGAACCATTCCCTTCATGCTCCGCATTATTTGCCCCGGGGTTATAAGGCTGTAAACTGCCCCTCCCCAGGAACACAAACCAGGTTGTAAATGAGAACGAACAGGAACAGCCCTGAGACTAACCCAAACCGCAACCCGAACCCGCTTTCTGTGCCACTTTCCTTCCTTTTCCCACTAAATGCGGCTGCGCCAGTTTTGAGAAACCACGTGTGGATGTGGCGGAGACCCAACCTGTCAGCCAAAAACTGCTCAATGTGTCCGACACTCACAGGAACGCGGAGCAATAACCAGGCCTGACTGCCATTAAAAGCAACAGGGAAACAACCACCGATACCTAGATTACCTGGTGGGTGTGGTTAGCCCAGGTTAGCCCCGGTTAGCTCAGGTTAGCCCAGGGCTAACCACACCCACCACTAGCATTTTAGCTCACTGACTTCCTTACAGGCCCGACATCCTCACAAGGACGTAAACTAAAGCCTTTCGGAGTTATTAAATGTGTTTTTCTTTCACAGTTCAAGTTATTCGAACACTGTAGTAGATTTTCTCAGATGCACGTCACGTTTCAATCCATTATCAGCCTTTTGTTTTAGCGCTCAGACCGTTAGCTAAAACTAGCGATTTAAAATGTCATCCAAATGTTTTAAAGAGATTGAAAACAGTCAGACACAACCTACCTTATGAAAACTGCTAACTGGAGGTTTCACTGTAATATTCTGTCTTCCTCAGATCATAATGTGTTGAATTGTTTTCAGGTGCTTCGTGAAAACAAGCAGCTGCACGCATAAAAAGGGTTTTCTTTTTCTCCGGCGCGGTGCTGCAGCCTCAGCGAACAGCGCCCCCCGCTGGCGCCCCCAGCTGGCTTTATTTACAGCGGAAGGCTGTAACCTTTACACTTTGTTCCCGAGTCGCGGGACAGAAGGTCTGGACATTTCATCACAAATGTTTGATAACCAACAAAATAAGAGCTGTGCCCTTTAAACTGCGACGCAGGATTGATCTTACTAATCAATACAAGATGAATATATTAAAAACAAGCCCCCAACTGTAAGTTTTCAAAAATACTTTATTGATCCCAAAGGAATTTTAATAAGTGGCAAAGAGCATCCATTACATGACCTGGGAATAAACGTTTCAGGAGTAGTTTTACATTTGTTTGAGTAAAATTATTATGCTCGTTCTACTTGAGAAAGTTTTTTGGATTCTCAATCCAGTGCAATTAACGTCACTGAATAAAAAAAAACTAAATATTTTAACCAAAGTACTTGAGACACAGAGACAAACATACAGTCTGTGTTCCAGTGAGACCTCTTGTTTGTGCACAATGTTTTCTGTTTTGTGTTATTTCCTATCTGCTGAGCCTGGTGAGTGATTTATAGATCAAGAAGAAACACTAAATATGTCACTATTTATGAAGCGTGTTTGATGACTTTGTGTGTTTCTGTGGACGTGAACCACGGCAACACGAACGGCGCGGCCGAACGGCGCGGCCGAACGGCGCGGCCGAACGGCCGAGGGCGAACGGCCGAGGGCGAACGGCCGAGGGCGACACGTGATTAAAGCCTTGTTGCTGGAATGTACAATATTAATCAACTTTATTCATTGATTGCATGTAAGCAATCAGTCAATTGCTTACATGCAATTGACTGATTGCTTACATGCAATCAATAAAAAAATAATCATTTGAAAAGAATTTCTTCTGTCTAGATTTTCTATTTTGTTATCATGTTATTTAAAAGGTTTTTGTCATTTTAATCTTTAAAATACGGTGGGGTGTTACCCACCGTATAAGAAAAATTAAGAACTAAAAAATGAAACCAGTGTCGTAAGAGTGTGATGATAAAATCATAATATTACGACAATAAAGTGGTAATGTTATGACTTTATTCTCTTGATTGTATGGTTTTCTTTTTCTCGATTCGGCCCTGTCCCGCCGCCGCTCCGCGGCTGCGACCCGGATGGACCGTTTCCCTCGGTCCGGTTGGCTCGCAGCTCAAAGTGCTGCCTCTGCCTCAGCAGGCCTCGCAGGACTTTCTCCGGATACAGGAAGAAGTTCCTGTTGCGCTGCAGGTCCTGCGCCTTCATGATGCGCGTCACCAGGGCCTCCTGGATGGCCGCAGACTCACAGGGCCGGTGCCGGACGCCGTGACTGACCTCCCTCTGCGGCTCGATGACCAGCAGACCCAGTTGCCTGAAACACGGCGCCGCCGAAGCATTTCTTCCCACCAGCTGCCCGCAGCTCCTCTGGTCGCCTGCCGTGGAGTTGGCTTTGGCATCAGCCGGGTGAGCCGTCACATTCCCGGTGCTGGAGGCGCTGCTGTTTTCCACGCTGCTGCGTTTTGGCTCCAATGTTTCCCCCGCTTCAGTCTCCAAAATATTTTTACGTAAATAGGCGACATAGCCGCTAACGAGGCGATTTAACCCCGTCTTGTAGGACAGACGCAGAGACTCGATGGACCCAGATGGCACAGAGTGAAGGCGAACCTGTTGGAGAATCAATTCAGATTTATTCTGTTCCTGCTTTCGTCTCCAACAGGTTTGAATCCAAAAACAAGCAGAACTGGAGGAAAAGCAGCTTTCTGTTACCATTCCTTGTTGAATTATTAATTAATTGGGATACACATCAAAGTTCTGCTTCAATGTCTGCCAGGCCTGAAGATGGCTAAACTCATAATATGCCAAATATGGCGAAATCCGGGAAAATACAACATAGTAGAAAATAATACGGCATGATTCTCCACTACAACTAAACAAATAGATCTGTTGTTGGAAAGGGATGTGCAGATCACTATAGAAACAAACCTGAAAAAGTGTGGTAAGTTTTTCTTGTTAAAAGAAATTTTCTACATTTTCTAGGAAATTGGAAGATTTTTTTGTAATTTCTGAGCAATAAAATCCAGATTCAGGTCACTGTTTCTTTAAAATGCTAGTTTTATGAATTAATTAACAGCAGATTTGTGTGCAGCAAAATTAGTGTTTGTGTAAACAGCACATCATTATTTAAAGACAAATAATTTGTGTTTTGTACTACTTTGTGATCATTTCTTCCAAACTAAATATAGAAAGTCATCAGACATCCATGCAGACATCAGATGTCTGTATGGATTTTGTTTTAATCTTCAATTGATGTCAGTGGCCGCATGCAATCAGCATAGGGCCACTAAAGGCCCCTGGACCGCACTTTGGACACTCCTGCATAAAAGAATACATTGAGAAAATACTTTTACTCAAATACTTTAAGTACTTTTAAAATCGAGGTGCTTCCTTTTCCTCAGGTGGTTTTACTTTTAGAGCTCATTTGTCTGTTTATTTCTTCTTTCACCAGAAAATTTGTTAAAATTATTATGTAGTGACTCTGAAAAAAATACATCGAGCTCGTCTGCCTCCTCCCAGTGCTCCCAGTACAAACTGCAGAAATACGTTCATTCAGTCAGTTTGAATGAAAATGGAAAACCAGAGTTCTGTAGAAGTTTATCCTCCATTGTTTTCTGGTTCAGCTTACCTGATGGATCCTCAGGTGCAGGTGAAATGCGGCGCCAGCCAGCCACTGCCGCATGGCCTCTGTGCTCATCCTCTTCTTGGTGGTCATCCTCTCATAATGGTCGATCAGCTCCAGGTTAAGCCAGGCGTCGTACAGCTCGGCGGCCTCCGCCATCTTCTCCTCGTCGTTGGCGATGGCGGGGACGAGGCGCAGGTAGCCGTGGATCATCGATCCGATTCTGGACGAGGCGCTGATGCCGAACACCTTCTGAACTTCGGATCCCCGTGGCGAAACCTGATGGCAGCTTTAAAAGTTTGGCTTCATAGACATTACAGCAGAGCAGCAGGGCCGGACTCACCCGGTCGTGGCCCTGGGCTGGAGCCCATTTGGTGCCCAATGCGCTGCACAAATACTCTCCTACTGATTACTGTGGGTGGTTCTCCAAAGACTCATGGAGTTCATCTGATCAATTGGTTTTATATAAGACACAATGTAAAGCATGAATTCATTAAAAATGTAATAAAGGTCATTTTTGGACCCCTGGGCGACCGAAACTGTAAGCCCATTCTAAAATCTGTCCCAGGCCACACTAATAAAATTACAGAATAACATAAAATTATGAGAATAACATCATAATAGGGTTAGGATTATTCTCATTATATGAATAACTTTATTTCTGACATTTACCCATAATTGTTTTGTCCTTAATACTCTGTTGATAAAAAAAAAATTTAAACAGGGAAATGAAATATTTGACGTACATGTTGAGCAACCTGGTCAAACAGCAGGGACAGGGCCAAGGCGACGACCCCTACGCCGCCGTTCGTGACCCTGCTGCTGCTCAGCTGCGCGGTGAGATTCAGGTGGAAGGCCGCCTGCTGCTCGCCGCTCATGCCGCGCTGCAGGAAGCCGTACCGGTGCTGCAGGGCGGCGGCAGAGTCCAGGGACAGGAAGGTGGTGAGCACCGGATCCAGGGAGATGTCCGGGACGATGTCGGCGTCTCGGGCCACAGAGAACAGCTGCTGGACAGTGGCGGCAGAAGGAAGGCACGGAGACGGAACCGTCAGGATCATGGCAGACACTGAGCTCCAGCTCAGAGATGTGAGGCTTATCTGTGTTTATTTGACCCAGGCCGGGGAGGTCATCAGTTTCGTCATCAGCGCCGGTCCAGAGATCTGTCAAAGATATCCCAGTCTGCTGGAGAGCGATTCGTTTATTAGACAGCCTGAACCTGCTTTACATTAACAAAACCTGAAGGTGATTCATGTTTCTCTCGATGGCCAACCTGTTGAAACTGGCAAATTTTAAATTCCTGGTGTCGTTCCTGGATAGTCAGCTCAACTCTGCTGAAAACACTTCCTGTGTCTATGAGGACTGTTCTCAGAGACTCCATCTTTAAGAGGATCTAGTGACCTTGTTACCCAACTAGAGCTTGTTGAGCTAAAATGTTAAAACTCAACATTTAATTCAAGTTTGAACTTTTCATCTCCTCGGCTGGTTCCGTCTCATGAGCTGCAGATTAACAAACTTTTAATGAAACTTTCACTGGCAGGTAATCAGCAGGTAAATGGTGATGAAACCAGAACCAACTTTATCTCAACTGTTTGCTGAAAGATGATGGAAGATGCAGGAATATTTTAGCAGAGAGCATCCATCCTCTTTCTTCATCAGTTTGACCTCTGACCTCATGAAGCCGTTTCTGTTTTCCTCTGGTAATAACAATCTATTAGAAATCATTTATTGACAGGGCAATAATTATTCTTTACCAGCTAAATGATAACATTTACCTGCAGCTTGCTGACTGTTTTACTCTATTCATAAATTATTGATGATGTGATTCAATGAATAGAATTTATTGTTTTAGAGGAAAATTTTCATGTTGATAAACTAAATAGTTTCATCTTATTTTTTCCTATATATGAGACTTTTCCAACAAAAAGTTTCTCAGAATAACATACATGGCACCATAAAAACAAAAATGTGAATTTTTGCTTGTATCTGTTTAACGACCTGGGTTGTTTTTCTTTTGAGCCAAATTTATTTGTTTGTAATTGACTTTTGATCAGTTAAATTTCATATGTATACATTGCAATTTGTATTTTTATTGTAGTTGATTATGTTGTTTTTATGTCTCCTTATTTCTTTAGTTCCTCCTATAATTGATAGAGATATATAGATATTATTTATAATGTGTGAAAGTATTATGTCATTTAATTAGCTCTAGAATGTTAAGAAAATGAACAAATATGGGGTTTTATAAGATAATTGATCTTTTACGGTTCCAGTAATGCCAGAATTAAGAAGTACTAAAGACTTTGTGCTATTCTGATTTAGTAATGCTGTTATATTAGTTGTGTTACCTCCCCACGCCTCTAGAGGCAGTATCAGGCCCGAAAAGATGCAGATTGAGAAATACACAAAAGCTACAGAATTAGTTAAAAACTGTGAAGTAAATAAAAGACAGAAGTGCAAATACATGCTGAGAGTGAAAATCTTTCCTAAAGGTGAAAATATAGCAGATTTCAAAAGAAGATAAAAACGGGAGACCGCGGATAATGTAGGAATCGGCGCCCCCTTCACTTCCGGAGTGAAATGGTCCCATTTCCATATAAGGTCTGAAGCTGACAGCGGTCCGTCGCCCTTCCTGTTTGCTGCAAGTCCTTCTTGTTGAACTGGACCGGTCCAAGTCGCTATTAAGCTAATTTTCTATTTGCAACTTTACTCATCTTTTACATTACAAATGAACATTAAAACAAACCTTTACTTGGCTTCTTTCTATGCTATCTCTTTCTTTTCCCTCCCTGAAGGATAAGTCCTTTTCTGAGACATAGTTTTGCTGACTCATCGTCTGACTGGAGTTTGGGACGTTTGGATGCTCTGCAGCTCATGTCACCATGAAAGTGTGTTACTTACCGCGGCCACCAGGGGGCCCCAAGAGCAATTTATTATTCTTTTTATCCATAAAACAATGGTTTCTACATACATTATCAAATATGTATGATTGTAAAAGCAGATCATTCATAGTGAAATTGTGACAGAAATTATTACTAAAAAACATAATAAATCAGCTCCACTGAGGGGGCCCACAGTGGCCCTGGGGCACTAAGGGGCTGCTTAGTTTGCCTGTGCCTTGGGCCGGCCCTGAGGTCTTCTTTAATGGCTGTGACTCCAGCATAAAACTTATTGCATTACGAATATTCTGCCGTACTTCCGGCAGAATATCCTGGTGTTTCGATTCTCGGTCTTTACGTCATGGAATCGTTTGACTGGGGTTTTGTGACGTCACTGACCAAACGTTTAAAAATTGGACCTTGAATCAGGAAACACAAACAAATAACCAACGGTCGCAGCCACTAAGCACGAATTAGTTTTAAAAGTCGTGTTGTGAAGCTGCTTTGACAGATAAAAAGACGTTTCTTGGTCAGAAGCCAACGGACGTGCTTTGCTCAACGCGATGACGTCATCGTGCGCCTCTTCGAAGCGTGCCCCGTCATCGGCCGGGGACGCAGAGGGGGAGCTGGTCGGTTCGGTTCCTGTCGGTGAAAACATAACTGGTGAGTCGCCAAGCAGGCCGACGGGTTGCAACATTTTAGTCCCGACAAAACGTCAGTATTGAACTTACAGGAGACCGTTAGGTTCCGCGAGCCGCTGCTAAAGCAGAGCTAACTGTTAGCCGCCTAAACTCCCGCCGTTTGTAGGAAACAAGAGCAAATTAACGAAGACTCGGAACCACGAAGGATGCGCGTTTATTCACCGAGCGACGAATCACAGCTTATCCGTGAAGGTAATAAAGTTAACTCGGTTAAAGTCCAGCAGGCCTCGTGATGTCACCAGGTTGAAATTGATTATTTATTGTTAAGTGCTTTAATAACAGAGTGATTAATGAACCTTCTGGGCGCAAACAGGCAGATTGTGAGGATTTAACCTGATTTTATGTGCAGGCTTCAGCTGATGTTTTCCATCCTAACTCTTTTTATACACTACACAGGAATAAACATCATTTTATGTCATTTTTTCTGTTCATAGGAGAATAACAGCAAATCTTTGGTGCCTCAAGCACCTGGTCCGTTTTTGAGAAAGTGGTGTTATTTATATGAACTTTATTTATTTTCAGCTTTAAAATTAACATTTTATGTTGCAGGAGCGTAAAATTATTCATTTCATACAAAATCAATCATGCTGGACTTTATCAATAACAATTATTTTAGATAAATGTTAAGAATGCTTTAATTCATACTGTGTCATACTATGTCTATAACATAACAGAGGATATTAACTACAAAGTATGTATTTTAAACAAAGTAGTTTAGAGATATAATTTCGATAAAAGTCAAGAAATCTCAGAAGCCGATTCAGCTTCCTAGTTAATCAAGTTCAACAAAATCTTCTGAACTCAGTGGAGTTCAGGGACATAAACATTAAGCAGGAAATGAAAGAAGCAGATCATTTCTGTGACCTTGGTAGATTCACAGGCTTTTCCAGTTCCTCTTCACTTCGTCACTTCCTAAAACAAAACAGGCATTTTAGACTAAGACTGTTCAGAACTTGAGGAAATTACCTTTTTGTTTATTCAGTTCCGTCAACAATTTTCAGTGCCAGCTTGGCAAAAGAGGAAGGAAGAAATGAAAACTAGATTTTGTTCTAAAGATGGTTTGAACAAATAAGCCGCAATCTACACATTTACCGCTAGATGGCAGTAGAGCAACTTTCTCCTCTTCATTAATTTAATAAATGAATGAACATGCAGTATCATGTAGTGGAATAAAACTAGATCAAGAGAAGAGAAAAGGGACTAACACTAAATGCAAATAAAAGGAACAAGTGTTTGAAACAAAATAAATGTAGATGCCTTGGCGGTTATTTTTCTTCACAATGTCTAAGATAACCTGAATGACGAGAACAGACAGACGTTAAACACCAGACTCCAATGACTAAAGTTCAGATTGTAACTGCAGATGAAGCTCTGTGAAGGAAAGTTCAGTCTTTTATTGATGAGTTTCAGTGTCTGTGTTTATTTCCAGCAGAGGAAGTTAATGAACAACATTTTAGTTCAAACTGAGACACAAACCAACCAAACAAGCGGAGCGTTTTCCTCTCCACGCCACCATGAGTCAGCGGACAGAGCGGCGGGGCATCCACGTCGACCAGTCGGACCTCCTGTGCAAAAAAGGATGCGGTTACTACGGCAACGCCGCATGGCAGGGCCTGTGCTCCAAGTGCTGGCGGGAGGAGTACCAGCGGGTCCGGCAGAAGCAGATCCAGGATGACTGGGCCTTGGCGGAAAAGTAAGGGCAGCCGCCGAACATGGCCGCCGTTTCAGCTCAGTGCGCCCGGCTCAACGTGTCCCCGACGCAGGTTGCAGAGAGAGGAGGAGGAGGCGTACGCCAGCAGCCACGTGGCGCACGGCTCGGCCGCCGCAGGTCACGCCGCAGGTCACACCGCGCTCGCCCCGTTCTCAAAGTTTGAGGAGAAGAAAACCAACGAGAAAACTCGCAAAGTGACAACGGTGAAGAAGTTCTTCAGCCCTTCGTCTCGAACCGCCGCTAAGAAAGGTGCTGCTCGCTTCGGCCCGCTTCGCCTATCTGCCTCTGAGAGGATCGGCTCCGTTTTTAAACTTCATACAAACGGGGCAATAAATTGATATTGCCAATTGATCAGTTTTGGTGATAAATTGGTTTAGAGAAATTTAATTTCTGGAAAATCTGGATTTATTTTCCACCATGAACTCTTTGGGTTTCTGTAGTTCAAGGTGATGTCATCACCCAGGGTAGCCATCTTGTTTGATAACTGCGTTTTACAGCTAATCCTACTGCAATAAGCAATTAATTAATCAAATTCAAATTAGCAGAATAATTTCCATCTGATCGTGAATATTGTTTGTTTACAGACTTCAGAAATCTTTATATTTCTGGTTCTGTTGTGTTTGTTTTATTGATGTTTTATTCTGCAGTTAATTAATCTGTGACTAAATTAGTTGATTATTTTAATAATTGATTTATTACGATTAATTGTGAGAAATGGCTTAGGTTGAGGAAACTGAAGGAGAGAAAGTCTGAATGATAATCCCTTTTTCTGATCAGAGCCTCTGGAGGGAAAATCAGCGTCTCCGTCCATCAGCCGCCGCGCCAGCTTTGACGCCGACCAGGTGTCCAAAGACTTTGTGGAGTTCTTGAAGAACCTTCACAAACCCGGCAGAGAGATCCATAAGCAGTGCCGGGCCTTCCTGGTCAGCATGTCCAACAAGAAGGTGAGGACGGATCGCTGAGCCACCAACCAATCCATCAACCAGTCAATCAATCAATCAATCAGTTATGGTATAGGACAGGGGTGCTCAAAACGTCGATCGCGATCTGCCGGTCGATCGCGATCGCGTCTGCCGGTCGATCTGCATCAGGTTTTGAGTGGATCTCTGCAGGACGCTGAGAGCAGCACTTCCTCTTCTGACAGACTTATCAAAAATATTCACTAAGATCCAAAACGTTTGTAGCTTCATTAAATAATAATAAAGCCTGAGACCTGATATCGTAACGGTCTGAACGTTTTTAACGTAATCTTTGCTCGGCTTGCGGGGCGCAGGCGGTTGCCACGGCAACAGGTGTGCTTAACAATAAAGAGAGAAAAAGAGTAAAAAGGTGCGAGTGGTTCTGAGTTGATCAGGTTATTCTACTTTGTTTTCCTTCGCTGTGGTTCATCACAGCCGCTGGAGTTTCTGAACGTTCAATAAACGACAGACTTGGACTGATGACCTCGTTCGTTTGCAGTAAACGTCACAACAAACGTCAAATAAGACACATATATTAGATTAAATATTAACAAACAAAGGGCTTCTACCACAATAATTGTGTCAAATTACATTAATTATATCCCAGATTCAGAAGATTTGCCTTTCCCTCTGCAGAGCTCTTTGGTTCCTCCCATCAGTCTGCAGTTTCTCATATTGACGTCATCAAACCAAATTTCAGATCCACCAGAACTGACTGATACCTGCTGGCCTCAGGTTTACAACCAGCTTCTGACTGAGAAACCAGTAACCTGCTGAAACCAGTAACCTGCTGAAACCAGTAACCTGCTGAAACCAGTAACCTGCTGAAACCAGTAACCTGTTGAAACCAGTAACCTGCTGAAACCAGTAACCTGCTCCCACTGTCAGAATCTCACTGAGGAAGAAACTGCATTATCATTTCTATCCCTTTATCATTTCTGATATAACTGATGGATATTTGCATAGAAAATGAGTCAATAGGGTTTAATTTATAATTTGTATGACTTCATGTCATGAGGTAGATCTCAGCCGGCTGGTAGAGAAAAAGTATCTTGGTCTCAAAAAGTTTGAGCACCCTTGCTATAGGACATTTATTTTAGGAAATTTCACACAGATGGACGTTTGAAAGTTGTTATTTCTGATTATTATTTCACTGACAGTTACATATTATGTCTACAAATTATTTTACCAATGAACTATGATTACTAAGTTAGTTCACAATTCTTTGAATATTAACCAAGAATAAAATGAATGATTGTGATTATCACTATTATTCATTTTTATTTTATCCGATTAATAGCTTCAAATCTGATCAGATCAATAAAAAAAACTTTAAAAATAGAAACAAGTTTAATAAAAAGTCTGTAGGGTTCTGTTAAAGAGCCAGTAAGTGACTGTGTGTCCTTAACGTTAGCCGCTAGCTATTAGCACAGCTCTGTGTGCTTAACATTAGCCACTAGATATTAGCGCAACTCTGTGTGTCCTTAACGTTAGCCGGTAGCTATTAGCACGACTCTGTGCTTAACGTTAGCTGCTAGCTATTAGCATGACTCTGTGTGCTTAGCACTAGCAGTTTGCTGATAGCTGCGTTAGCTGCTTGTTATTTTTGTGACTGTAGTTCTGTGTTTTCAGTGTTAGCGAGTAGCTGCGTTAGCCACTAGCCTTTTCTTTGCTCTGGACAGGACCTGGGAGCAGAGGAGCTGTCGGAGTGCGTTCAGGATTTCTACCAGAGTTTGGCTGACCGCCTCATGAGCCACTTTAAAGGTTAGCGCAGCGACGCTACGTGGTAATTATTCTAGATGAATGAATCAGTGTGACCTGAGCCAGCCACCAGGTGGCAGCAGCAGAGTCTCATTGTGTTTCTCATCAGGGTCGTCAGAGTCGGTGGATCAGGTGATGGACCAGGTGGAAAAATACATCATGACCCGCCTGTACAAGAGTGTCTTCTGCCCAGAAACCACGGATGACGAGAAGAAGGACCTGGCAACCCAGGACCGGATCAGGTCAGCTCTTCATCACTCTCAGCATCACCTTCATCTCGTGTCAGGAAACTCTCTGAAAGTTTCTGTCTGAATTTTGCTACCGAGCAGCGTTTAAAGCTCAGCTCCTTGTTTCTACATGAGCACACCTGCACACTGCATGTCAGCGTCCCCTGGGTGGCGCTTCACCCCCAGGGGACGCACTGTGCTGAGCCTTGTTATCCCCCAGGGGGCGCCGCACTGAGCCGTTAGCCTGACGCGGTTAGCCTCGTGTGTCTGCAGGGCGTTGCACTGGGTCACCGTCCAGATGCTGTGTGTGTCCATGGAGGAAGAAACGGCCGAAGTGTCAGAGAACGTGGTTAGAGCCATAACAGGTGAGAAGCAGCGATTCCATCAGCCAATAAAATAATTAGGATTCTTTCTAGAACTTTACGGCTCGTTTTGCAGATTTTACGGTTTACGTTCGTAAACGTTTCTTCTCTGTTTCGGTTTAGTGCGATGGGTTGTTTGTCAAATGGCTGTAAATCCTGATCAGTTTTAATGGCAGCAGCATTGCGACTGAAGGCAGGAAAAACCTGTGGTCTGGTTGCAGACATCATCGAGATGGACTCGAAGCGCGTTCCGCGGGACAAGCTGGCCTGCATCACTCGATGCAGCAAACACATCTTCAGCGCCATCAGGATCACCAAGAACGAGCCGGCGTCCGCCGACGACTTCCTGCCGGCACTCATCTACATCGTGCTGAAGGCCAACCCGCCGCGGCTGCAGTCCAACATCCAGTACATCACCCGCTTCTGCAACCCGAGCCGGCTGATGACCGGAGAGGACGGATACTACTTCACCAACCTGGTCCGCTTCACTCCTTACTCGCTTATCAAGAGAGAAACTGAATCTGTTCAGTCAGTGAACTGGAACTGAGTTCAGAAGTTACAGTTCAGATTCACCCAGATTAGGATCCAGTGAAACTGTAAATAAAGTCCAATTAAATTCATGGTAGCTGCTTGGACAGATTTAAAAGTGTCAGCAGATTTTCTTCCAGTTGGTCAGAAGCCGCAGCTCCGCCATGCTTTACCAACCAAGATGGCGCCCATCACTTCCTGTTCAGACCAGAGGAAACTCTGCATCAGAAGGCCGGTTAGCAATGGCAGCTAGTTAGCACAGTAGCTAGTTAGCGCCTCTGCATCTGGTTAGTGGCCGAAGCTACCTGCGGACGGCGCAGCGCTAACGGCTGTGTCTGTGTTGCAGTGCTGCGCCGTGGCCTTCATCGAGAAGCTGGACGCTCAGTCTCTCAACCTTTCCCCAGACGAGTTTGAGCCCACATGTCAGGTCACGCCTCGCCCCGATGCAGCGTTCGGAGGACGGACGGCCCGACGGCGGACCCGGAGTCAGCGGCGCCGCCGGCCCGGTCCTGGCCCGGCTGAGCCACAACCTGCAGCTGCTGTCGGGCCTGAGCGCCAGGCAGGAGGCCGTGACGGCGGCGGCGCTCAGCCTGCAGGCCGACCTCCTGACCTGGACCGACGGCATCCGGCAGACGTCCGCCACATCTTGGACAGGTATCCTCTGGACGCCAAGGCCTCCAAGGCTTCGGCCATCGACGCCAGCGGCGTGGACGGCGAGAACCTGCTGGCGCCCATCAAGCCCCACATGTTTGTCGGCTAGAGAGGAAACCAGAACTTCAGAACCGACCTCAACGCCCAGGACCGGACCTGCAACAGCAACACCTGAAAACTGATTCAGATCCATTGATTTATCAGCAGATCGTCACACAGCTAGCGATCAATCCATTTGATTGATTAATCAAATTTGGGGGTTTAAAAATGTACATGTTTGGGAAATCAGATCAGTGATGTCATCGCGCCCAGATGACATCACTGATTCGGGGTAAACAATTAACACTTTGTTAAAGTCCAATACAGTGAATCTGTGAATATTTGATTAGTTCAAATATCTATGCATTAATATACATTCATATTGAGTTTAAATATACGTGACTGAATCTGTTTTGGTTCATTTCAGAATCACTTTGTCTTAATAAAGTGATTCTGATTTCAGACTGAACATAAAAACGCCTTTAAAACATTCACTCTAATTTACGGTACATTTTTGTTTTTGACTTGACAATAGAGGCATTTTAACTGATTTTAACTTTTTGTTTGAAGATAAATTGAAAGAATTTGCAAATAAGTTTCCTATTTTGTTATTTTTAATTTGTGTGCCACATAACTTTTTCATTGCAAGCAAATAAAATTAATTTATTCAAACCCAACGCTGGCAATAGAGCAGATTTTCTGTTTATTAGTATGAATTGTTTTAGGAATTTCTAAAATTAGAAACAATTTATGCATTTGTGACTTAAGTGTTAAATATGTTTAGTGGGGCAACAAGCTTGAAACTTTCTTGAATAAACTTTATGTCACTAACTGAACAAAAACCATTTAATTGAAATGTTAATGAAAATGTGTTTAAAAGTAAACCTAAATGATTTTTCTTTAAAAGGATGGTTCACATTAACGTGTTGGTTTAATATTTCACAAATGGTCCAAACATTTTTGTTTTGGCGAAATAAAAAATATTATTAATCCAAACTTTTGTCCAAGATTAACTTTGCCTCACGGCGTCCAACTAACAGCGCTGCAGTAAGTTCAAGTTTTTGTTAAAACGCGTTACATGAAAATATTCACTGTAAAAAGGCAGAAACTGGTTTTTCTCCTGATGCCATCAAAGCAAATTTCTCTTCATCTTTTTGGTCAAACTTTTTCTGCTTTTTTGGTTTAGATGCTTCCTGTTCAGACCAGAGGAAACTGCATCAGAAGGCCGGTTAGCAATGGCAGCTAGTTAGCATAGTAGCTAGTTAGCGCCTCTGCATCTGGTTAGTGGCCGAAGCTACCTGCGGACGGCGCAGCGCTAACGGCTGTGTCTGTGTTGCAGTGCTGCGCCGTGGCCTTCATCGAGAAGCTGGACGCTCAGTCTCTCAACCTTTCCCCAGACGAGTTTGAGCGCCACATGTCGGGTCACGGATTTAACTCCGACTGTCAGCCTGCGCTCACACGTAACCGTGACGACACTGCGCTCACACGTAACCGTGACGACACTGCGCTCACACGTAACCGTGACGACACTGCGCTCACACGTAACCGTGACGACACTGCGCTCACACGTAACCGTGACGACAGTGTTGTTCTTCTCAGCGTCTCAAAAGCTGGAGTTCAGGCTGAACTTTGACCCCAAGTCCTGAGGAGCTGAAACAGATTGGAAGTTTCTCTGAGTCAGAAGTTTAAAATCTGGTGCAGAAGCAAACGAGGTGGAGTAGCAGGAGCTAGGTTTCCACTTCACATGGTCCCGATTTGAAAAGTTTTGCACAAGATGTTTGATTTTATTCACCGGCTGTGATCAGAATTGGCGAATTTTGCTAAACTGCAATGGAAATAGTTTGTTCGCATCACAGGTCACACGACCGGCAACTGGATGTTACTGCTGGTGGAAACTACGAAGAAGAAGACAACAGGAAGTGGAAGGATGGCGCTGCTGTTTTTTAATGACTTATTGTATGAATAATCTTATTCACATGTAATTTAATAACTTACATAAACTCTGCAATTACAAAACAGTTTTTTTAACATTAGTGGAATATCATGTAATTTTGCCCACATTTTCGTGTAAACGCAAAGTGTCATCAAGTTAGTGAGGAATGAGCTGTTAGCATCAGGAATCATGCAGCAGCAGCTTCAGTCAGAGGTCTCATCACAGTCGCTGTAAGACTGACTGCTACCAGAGGTCCGTCCTGCCGACAGATATTATAGAATATCTAGAATAGATATAACAGATCAAATCTGAAGGTTGAAAGTTTTTCAGTGCTAAAAATTGAAAAATGCTGAAGGTGAATTGATTTGATAGGTATTGCTAAAATATAATATTGTAAACAGAAACAAAATGTTTAAAACAGCTTTAAAAAGTGATATTTACCTTTATTTCACAGCTTAGCTGTGGCTGCATGCATGTATCATTTTGGAGGCACTGCAGCTATTTCTAAAGTCCACCTCAAACCCTTGACCTCTGACCTCTCCCGGCTGTTTCCGGCTCCGGGCCTTTTGTCCGGATTAAACACCATCTGGAACCAAAGTTCCCTTTTCTCCAGGATATTTTATTGTGTCATTGTATTCACTGTTATCTTCGTTTTATGGACGCAAGTTATCGATTAATGAGTTCATCGAAAGTTGATTAAGCTGATCGATCGATTAATGTTTAGCGGCCATTTTCTTAAAATTTGTAATTTTCTCTGGTATCCAAACGGCCCCGAAACACAAAGGTCACATTTTCACTGTAAGCATAAATGAAAACACAGAATGTTAATTTACAGACTGAACAGAAATTCGCTGTTTTGCTACATTATTGGACCAACATGTAGAAATAAACAGCTGAACAGAAAAATGAAATCACTGAAACTTTCCGTCTTCGCAGCTGCAGGTTGAAAAGTTTCCGCAGTTCGTCTGAATGAGCGACACGAACCGAACAAAGTTCATTTCCATCCAACACCGAACTCTGTTCCGGTTCCAGGACAGTCCGCCATCTTTTCTTCTGCATTAATGTCTCCTTTCAGGACGACGAGCGGCGCCCTCTGCTGGATGGCGGCCAAAGTACAGCACTGACACAAGGTCCAAAAGCGGACATTGGTTAATCGATTGGAAACTCATTTTAATCTAATAATCAATTTGTCTGCGATTAATTGTGAGTATATTAATTGTTTATTGGTTTCAGACTTTAATCTTCAAACAGTAAATCATATGAAGTCTATCAACCAGAAAACAAGCAAAACAATACGTCCTTGGCTGCATAATAAGGAACTTTCTGTTTATTATTGTCTATGATTTTAGGTAACATGTGAGGGAAACCTGGAGAACATCAGATAACATCCTGCGCCTGACAAGAAGTTTCCAGTGTGCAAAAAAGTGACAAAATGCAGTTTTAAAGGGCCGTTGTCTGAAGTGGATCAGCTGGAGGCAGCAAGTCATGGCTTGGTCTAGTTCAATCATAAACACACACTTTTCATCCGGGGAAGAATTCCTCATTGGTTTCAACTAGAGCTTGCATCCATCCATGTTTGTCTGAGAGCATTAATGCTGTCAGTTTGTGCAGAATACCAGATAAATGAACTGTTACATGCTTAGATATATTTCTGAAAAAGGTTATTGAAAGCTTTATACATACATAAGGCATAAAATATATACAGAACTAACCTAAAGGTAGTAGTATCAAACATCATGTAGATATTCACACAGAAACAAAACAAAGAATCCAAAACTGCTTATAATATGTACAAAAATACTTCTGCAAATGTCCCTAGGAATATCTGGTTAGAAAAAATAACAGGGATCTGAGGAGACGTCACACGACAGCTGAAACATGCAGAGGATTCTCAGTCCAGCTGTGGCCTCATTCTACATGTGCTGGTTCTCCAGGTGTGAATCTGAAAAGCGGATCTAGTGACGGATTCTACAGTTCTCGCTGAGCCGCTCGGTTCTCGCTACACTTTGGACTCGCTCTCCAGGTTGGCTATATCCCCGTTCCTCTCGGTCGCCTTGTCCTGGCTCTCCGGGCCGGCCTTGCCGTCCTGCCCCTCCTGCTCCGACTCGGCCAGCTCCTGCTGGCTCAGCTTGCTGGCCAGCGACCAGGTGAGGGCAGCCGGGCGCGGGCGGCCATGTCGGCCAGCTCTTTGGCGCTGCAGGCCGGCGTGTTGGTCTCGTAGATCTCGTGGAAGCTGTTGTAGTCGACCTCGTAGAAGCCGTCCTCCAGCGTCAGGACGGGCATGAAGCGGTAACCCCACTTGATCTCTCTGCTGACGTAGGAGCTCCTGGCCTGACACGTCATCCCTGCAGACACAGCCATTCAGACAACCGACAACACGTCATTTATCACCGCTGACATGGTAGGAATCAACGGAAAGGTGACATTAGCATAAATCTATGGCCTAAACAAAACCTTCTCCACATTTCTGCACTAAATTGTTCTTAGACAATCAGATTTCAGTCTGATCGACATTTTCACTGTGAAAATCAGATGTGCAATTATAAAACCGTACGTCTTTGAAAAGCAGAAGTGGTGCCTCCTGCAGAAGTGTGCAGGACATTAGCATCATTAGCAACTACTGGCCATCCATACATCCATTTTCATCCACCCTTATCCCTTTGGGGTCAGGAGGCAATGGTGCCTCTCCAGAGGTCAAAGGGCGAGAGGCGGGGTCACCTGGACGGGTCACCAGTCCATCACAGGGAAACACAGAGGCACACAACTACACACACTCACACCAAACTTATACAGACCACTTAACCTGACAGTCAGATTTCTGGACTGTGAGAGGAACCTGGAGAACCTGGAGAACCTGGAGAACATGGAGAACCTGGAGAACATGGAGAATATGGAGAAACTGGAGAACATGGAGAACATGGAGAATATGGAGAATATGGAGAACATGGAGAACATGGAGAACATGGAGAACCTGGAGAATATGGAGAACCTGGAGAACCTGGAGAACATGGAGAACTGGAGAACATGGAGAACCTGGAGAACATGGAGAATCTGGAGAACATGGAGAACATGGAGAATATGGAGAACCTGGAGAATATGGAGAACATGGAGAATATGGAGAACCTGGAGAACCTGGAGAACAT